CACACACACACACACACACACACACACACACACACACACACACACACACACACACACACACACATTCCATCGATAGGATGAGCAAAATCGAAATGAATATCCGCTGAAACGTGGAAATATACACTGCCAGGTTTTGATTTTGTGTGTGTGTGTGTGTGTGTGTGTGTGTGAGAGAGAGAGAGAGCCGATAAATCTCCAACTTCGTGGCTCGAGTCATGCTACTTCCATCGATACGATAGCAAAATCCGAATGAATCGTTCGTGTGTGTGTGTGTGTGTGTGTGTGTGTGTGTGTGTGTGTGTGTGTGTGAGAGAGAGAGAGAGAGAGAGAGAAAGAGAGAGAGAGAGAGAGACGATAAGTCTCCAACCTCATGGCTCGTGTCATGCTACTTCAATCGATAGGATGAGCAACATCCAATGAATCTTTGGCTAGAACATGGAAATATACACTACCTGGTTGAACATGGCCGACACCTTCGACGGCGCGGCGTGAAAAAAAACCGTAGCCAAAAAAGAGCCCGTTCATAAATCCGCGCCAACACCAACCCCAAAAAATAAATGGCAGTAAACAGAAAACCGCGCCGGGCCCACGAAGCCGCGCCAACACCAACCCCGAAAAAAAAACGGCCGTCAAAAAACAGCGTCGGGCCCATGGTGCATCGGGCCCGCGCGGGAAAAAGTCTCAGCGGGACGCGTCACGCGAGACCCGCGTTTTGCTTTAGAGTATTAGGGAAGAAAGAAGAACAAAAAGAAAAAGAACAATATGTATACGGAGAAACATGGTAGTGGCATACCCAGACCCGAACCTGGACACCATCCAGAGCGGAACCTGACTTGTGTCAAGATACCATCTGCGCATGTGGATCTGACCTGGACCAGGAGAACCCAGACAATATCCTATCCATGATCATTCTCCTGTGCTGACCATGGGTCACCAATCTGTAGTTCTACCAGAATGCCCTGTTCCCTTTTTTTTTTCCTTTACCATTCTAAGCTTCTCTGTATTGTTCCAGTTTTAACGAATGTCCCGAAGGACCAAATGTCCTGTTCCATTCTACAGGAGGGTCATGAATTTCTAACTGTACGAGGCGCCAACTGTTGCAGCAGGTGCTCAATGAGCCTCCAACACTTGAGCAGGAGATGACCTCTCTATCAGGAATGAAAGAGTGAAGCTCACTATGGGGCACATTGGCCAAGGCGGCTCAGGTGCGGATAAAGTGGGAGCGGATAGAGGCACAGGCACATGATCCCCAAATAATCAAGGCTGTGGAGCTCACTGCCCCAGGAAGGACAAACTGGGAGCAGCTAGAGAGGCACAGGGGGGTGATCCCCCAGTACGCAAAGCTGTGGAGGAGCTAATTGTCCCAAGCAGGTGCGCACAGCCAAGGGGCTGTCTTCTACACACTATGAGAGTGGTTGGTTGACTGGAGTGACTTGCTGGAGACAAGAATGGCAGCTGGAGTGGACGGCAGTGGACTCTCTGTTATTGTCCAGCTGAGATATCTGGTCACTTCCTCCGACTTCATCTATGGTATCAGGCAGGCAGTTACACTACTGAACGCAGCTGGGGTCAGAGAGAGGATTCGGGTCTTGGAAGAATGAGTCTACCAAGTTCACAAAGCACGTCTTGAATGGGCGGTTGCCATCTGCACTTCGTTGATGGATGGAGGGATTGTTTCAGCAACTTTCTGGACGATGGGCATATAATGTCGCTCTGATGGATGCTGGCATGACGTGGGAGCACCTTTTGACTGTGCGACCATGATTTCCGAAAACAGTTTGATTATCTGACTGAGGTTCTTCCTTGATCTTTTTCTCAGTTTTCCATAGCCTCTGCACAGCCCATGTGGCTGAATGCTACACACTAACCATTAGTACACACGTCATGAGTTCGAAACCTGATGAAATCCGACAACCATGACAACGCCAGGGGCTACCCTTCCGAAAGAGGGTGGGCAAGGGGAGAGGGGGAGGGGGTGGAATCTCACAGCCCGAACCATGGGACTGTGGTAACTCCTAGGAGTGAAAAAGCCTGAATTGTTCTTTTCTTCTACCTGATTACTGGTGAAATACCTGAGGATGTTTAGAGGAAGCCAATTTTCACCTTTGTTGATCACAGGAAAGATATCAGCACATCCTAATTTCTGCAACTGAAGGAAGAAGAGTGCAATGGAAACTACTACATGACAGTATTTTCCTTCCCCTGTAGTGGACGGAGCAAGCAGATTTCTCCACCGACTATTTTGTATACCAACGATTAAAGGTTCCCACGACACAGTGATGGATGCTGACAGACACGCAGAGGGAATCAACAACTTACACGAAAGACACTCTTGAAGCCAATGCCCTTCTCGCCAATGAATCCGGTGCCTTTGTTTGCCTTTGTGCTGTTGCCGACATCACACAAGGCACGCATGTTTCTCTCTGTAAATCCCTTTTCATTGTTAAGAACAATTATCCTGTCTGATGCCAACACGAAGTATAAAGAAGGGCACACTCCATTGTCGTAAAGGTTGTCATCTGCATTTTGGACCTGCGCAATACACACACACACATGCCGCCAAACCATACCAAAAACGACGATTACTACGAGCGACCTATCAGTTTTTCAACTTCTTCTTTTTCTCTTTTCTTCTTTTCTTTTTTTCAAAACAGGTCCTTATGGCCTTGACTCCGTTCTATTCTTTGGAGCAACACACAGTCCAGCAAGTCATAGAATACAAAACTCATACTTCCGTCATGGCCAAAGGAACCCCTGAGCATCATCGACTGCCCCTTGCAGGATGATTTGATTATTAGGCTGGCCTTTCATTCTGCCATTCCTCTCAGCCTACAAGCGCAGTAACACTGTCCGGTATACTTGAAGCACTTGAACTAAACGTGATATGAGGGTATACACGCTTTCCCGCGCCTTGACATGCATCTTTCTTCCATAACTTCCTAGGTTCAACGACTCAATCTCCACTTCCATCACAGCCGGTCCTGTTGGAAGATCTAACACTCTTCTTTGGGAAAAACAAACGTAGGGTACGGTCTCTGTTGTCCATTTTTTTAGCTTTGTTTTCTCCCCACATAAGACTCAGGCCCCATCTACATGCGGGGCAATAGCTCGAGATAGCCGTCGACAGGCAAACTCTAACACCCTCCAGGCCCAAGTGCCCCCATGGACAGGCTCTGGCAAGGTGGCCATCGGCGCTCGAATCCCCTTCAAGGAGGGTGCAGACCAGGTCCCATCATCAACACAAGGCTAGAGGGATCGCGGCAGTCAGGACATGTTTGAATTTCAGTAGGCAAAAAAGAAAACGAAAAAAAAAAGAAAAAAGCATTAGACCTTTTTATTCTTAGTACAGTTAATAGTGTAAGGACTCCCTTGCCCCTTGACCAACAACTGATGCAATCCATCATCTAAGGATGCCACCAGGGAGATTTTCCGTACATAAGAGAGAGAAAGCACGGAAGGACACGCAGGGAGAAAGGTTTTTACAGGCCACATGTCAAGGAGATAAGAATCTTTGCGGAAACAGAACTGTTTTATCTGTTTTCGTAAAACTTTTTGAGGCGAATTTTGCTAGCTTTTCTTTCTCAGAGGCACCTTTTGCATTGGCGCAAGAACGCTCGTTTGTTTGACGTCTTGAATTTTTTTGCTATGATTTTTTCAGAAAAGAAATTCTGTTTTTCGAACTCAGAAACCACAATGCAGACACAATAACGATCATAAAGCACGGAAAGACGGGCAGGGAGAAAGGTTTTTACAGGCCACACATGGTTGCATCCCTGCCGACCGCCGACCCCGACCGCCGACCGTATTGCAGCCGACCAGTAGGGCCGACTGGTCGGCGGTCTGCTGACCAGTCAGAAAACAACCATCCACTACTTTTTTTTCAGATCTGAGTTGGAAGCTGTTCCTGCACTTGCTGAGTACAGCCCAAATCCGCTGACAAATTTTGGGGATGAGGGGGTTGGGGGAGGGGTGTATAGGGGGATATAGGGGGTATAGGGGTGGTATAGGGGGTACTTGGGGGGGGTGGGGGGGGGGGGGGGGGGGGGGGGGGGGGGGGGGGGGAGGGGGGGGGGGGTGGGGGGGTGGGGGGGGGTTGGGGGGGGGGGGGGGGGGGGGGGGTGTATGAGGGTGTTGAGGGGCGGTTTGTGGGTGTTGTCTTATACACATCTAGATGTGTATAAGAGATATGGGGGTGTTCGTGGGGTTATTAGGGGTTCTGGACCCAAAAAAAAAAAAATAAAAAAAAAATTGGTGGGGTGCCGACGACCCCCGACCAGTAGGTGCCAACCAGCCTACCGGTCGGCGGGTCGGCAGCCGACCAGTCAAGGGTCGCCGACGGTCGGGTTGTGCAACACTGAGGCCACATGTAAAGGAGATAGTTTTTCAACTTTTCACAGGCCATACGTGAAGGAGATCATTCACATTTGCATACATAGAGAAAAAGCACGGAAAGGTGGGAAGGGAGATAGGTTTTTACAGGCCACGTGTTATACTCAGCAAATCATTCACATTAGAGTTGCATGAGACACCAAGTGCAGAAAATCCATTACCCATGCAAAAGGAAAGCAACCAACTCAATCATAGTTTGCCATCCTGAACACCACCACCAATCTCTCCTCCAACCACCTCCCCTTCCTGCCCAATGCACGTGCCTCTCACTCGGAGGTTCCGCCCTTCTCCCTGGGTGGTGCATTCTGAAAGCCAACCAACTCAACTTCCAAAAGTACTGAGCCATACCTATCGAATGATTGCTGATGGCCGTACTTATTCTGGATGCAGGTTTAACTACCGTCTTCCCCCAAACATAACGCACCCTGAAAATAAACGTATGCAAGGCATGTTTCTGGGCCGATTCAGTCAAAATGAAGGTGCGCTGTGTTCGGGGGAAGACGGTAGTAGATCATCAGATCCTAGCATAGCCCAACCTAAGCAACCTGCTGTAGGGTACAATTTCAAATCACTGGTGTAGAACTTTTGCCTAACAATTAGTAACAAGCCTAAAAAGAACAAAAAAACAAACAAACAAAAAAAAAAGCAGCAAATCCCTGGACACAGCAGGAGCAAGGAAATATACAAAACCAGACTGACATGCACGAAAAGTGGGGCCCACGCCAAACAGTTTTGCATGAATGCTTCTGTTTCCCGAAATTTCTGCCAATTTCTGGGTCGCTAACAATTAACCATTACAGCAAATGTTTTGAGAATCATATGAGGCCCCTACAAATTTTCAACATAACGCTCTTCAAATCAGCACCTGGCTGATCATTTTTTTCCTAAAAAACATATATTCTTCTCGGCAGCAGTGCTACGGAACAAATGCCGCAGTCCTGCCAGTAATAACCACATCAGCTTGGCTAGGTTACAAGTCATGGCCTACATTCACCTAGAGTGCAAGTGGACAGAAAAGAGCACATGCAAACATTGAGGGCCACGAGACACTCACGAGTTCCAGAACAAAGTGGCTGTCCTTGCTGTACAAGTCATTGCTGAGGCGCTTCAGGGCCCTGCCGATTCGTGCGTTCTGCCTCTTTGCTAGCTCCGTCTTTCCCATCTCGCAATCCATCCCAAACTCCTCCACCCTTATCATTTCAATAAGACCCCGAGCTTTCTCAATCGCTCCCTTCTCGTACTCCTGGCCAATCATCTCCTCTTGATCCGCCTCCATCTTTACCCCCTGCGAACTCGTTTTTTCATCCACGCTACTCTTATCAAGGGGCTTACCGTCCACCCCTGGCTTGAGATCACTGGTTGGCGGTAGAAGGTCAGAGCGTGCCGCTGCCAGCGGAGTCCCATACTCGTTACCATCCACGTGCATGTCACTACCTATGCCACTTCCAGCAACCTGTGCCAAGCGTTTACTCAAGACCTGATCCCGATAGTCATCTACCCATTCTGTGATTCCCATCTGCAACCCAAGTGCATGCAGCATTGCAGTCTGCTCTTCACTCTTCTCACTGACGTGCAGGAGAAGCCCATAGCAGCCAGAGACAAAAGATGGCAGGCTCGGCAGCAAAACATCTCCCACAAATGAACGCATCTCTGCAGGAGCAGCCATGATGCATTGGACAACAAACTCAGCAGTTCTTCTCTGTTGAGTAGACCAGTTGTTGGAGACTTTGCTCGTATTGTCACCCGACTCGGTGTTCATTCTCTCATTCTCCCCTCGTATTCCCGTCCTCTCTTCAGCTTGCCTCGCTTCGGCCACTGCCATCACGCCATCGGTGTTGCCTGGGTAAGAAGAGTCGTGTACGTATGGTTCAACAGCCTGGGTAGCTTTGAAATGGTCAGTAGGTGTGCCTTCCTGAAGGCCATCTTCTGCAAAGGACGAAAGAAGTATAGAGATAGCTGATGACGCATGCAACTTAAGTAGTGCTCGTGGTGTGTGAGAGACACCTCCATGAGACACAGCCAGAGACACAAGGTGCATTGCTGCTGCTTCAGCATTCCCAACTGCACAACTCTTGAGAAAGTCATCAGTGGTTGATGAAGGATTGACACGGACAATCTGGCCATTGGGAAGGGCGAGTGTATGAAGATCGTGGGCTCTTCCATCCACCTGCTCCAGCCAGTCCAGCAATGGTCCCAAGCTTGGCGCAAAGACTGCCTGCCAACTGGACCAGTCAGCCAGATCCACCAACATTGGTGCAGACTGCAAGCATGCCACAGCCGCCATGTCATCCATTGACCCCAGGACACCAACAGCGTTCAGCTCATCCTTGATCACCTCTCTTCCTCTTGCTTTACCCCCACCCTCACCGTCAACGGCACCTTCACCACTTCCTACTTCTGTCAATGCAAACTTCTCAGGGTTGACAAGCAGGGTGCCCATGTATGAGACACTGGCATCAACCATTTGCTTCTGACGCTCGCAGGTCGCATCAGCCAAGAGCTCCTCTACAGAGCCGTATCCGAGCTGCTCAACCGACGCCACCCTAAAGTGCATGCAAAGCTGAGCCGTAATACATTTTTCAAGGGCCACTTCTCCAGCCCCATCCCAGACACTTGCAATATGCAGAATGAATCGCATCAAACGGTGGCGAGGAACAAGCTGCTGCTGTTTCGCCTGGCCAATGACCGGCCTGCTTTTAAGTCCCAGTTCAATAGCCATGTCCTCCGGAAATGCATCAGCATGATCCACCAGGAAATTCAGAAACGACATTTGCCCAAGGTCTCCAAAATTGTCGACACTGTAGCGTTCAACCAGTGAGCGTTCACATTCATTTGCCCAACGTAACACAGACCAAGAAGAATCATGTTCCTGACTCCGACCTTCTTTGCCATCTTTCTCCTTATCCTGCTGTGGTTGATTGGCCACGAAATGCCGAATGACTGCTTCTACCAGTTTCCTTTCACCAACATTCTTCTTTTTTGCAGCTGCCTTGCTTTCGCTATCAGCACACGGAGCAGTGTCCCACAGACCAGCTGCAATCGATGATGCCTGCCAGCACAGACAGCAGCACAAGATCATCAGTTTTCATATCACCAACTCTGGCCTGTCTGATTAGGTAATGCAAACGCACCACCATCCTATATTCAATACAGTGCCTCCAAGAAAATGAATTCATTGAACAAGAGAACGACAAACCAAGTAAAGCCACAACACAAAAAGATGCCATCACTATCACGCACTGCACAGAGTTTCTTTTTTTTGGGTGCCCCAGCGCCTCCCACGAGCTTGTGCGTGCGAATGTGGTGGCAGTTCCACGAGTTCGCACATCTGAACATGGTGGCAGGGAGGGGCAAGTAGAGCAAAACAACACACGCACAGCCAGGACACACCCACTCACTCTCACACACACAAATGAATAAACAAGTAAAGCCAGACAAAAAACACAAAAAGTTGAAAAAACACAAATGATAAAGAACAGAGGTCAAAGATGCCATGACTGCCACGCACTGCACGCTGTTTGTGTTCTTTTCAGTGCCCCGGCACCTCGCATGAGTTCGTGTGTGTGAATCTGCAGCCAGTTCCATGAGTTTGTAAGTCTAAATCTGGTGGAAAGCAGGGCAAGCAGGGCAAAAGAGCACAGGCACAGCCAGGACACACCCGTTCCCGTTCCCACACACCTGCTCACTCTTTCATAGAAACAGGTACACACTCACCACATGCACATACACTCACTCGCTCACACCCATGCTCGGTCATACTGAGACTAGGCCCCTTTTGCCTTATTTCTGGACCCAATTGCAGCCAGATACATCAAGGGCTGGTCGTAATTGCAGTCAAATACATCCAGGGAAATCCTAGTGTATGCCCTTAGTCATACACACACACACACACACACACTCTGAACATTCACACACTCTTATGCGCATGCACACATAGCTGGAATGTACCGACAGGTAGACGAATCAACCACTAAGGTACCCTCCTTTGAAAGCTTTACCACCTTTTTTCAGTGCACCCTCTCCCTCCACCTCCTACTGCCTCCTTTTCCCCTGCACCACCGCCCCTCACACTTTCTCCCTTCACCTTCACAGCCTACACAATTCCCTCTCCTATTGCAACTCCTTCACCCTTTCTCCAGTCCCTCTAGCCCTCATATCACTCCCCCTTTCGTAGGGAAAAGCACGAAGCACCAATCTCACTTGTGCAGCTGAGTGCAAGACCGGAAAGAGAGAAAGGGGAGAGAGAGAGAGAGTGGGAAGAGAGATGGAGAGGAGAGAGGGCCCCAATTTCCCTAGCCAGCACCAAATCACAACGGTCATCGATTTGCTGTTGCACCAATACACGTGTCACGAACCACCAATTCATGGTGTAGCTAGCACCAAGATCACATAGCCCTCACCTTGATGCACTAAGTTCACATAGCACAAAGCACAAATTCACGGGGTAGCTAGCCCCAAGGAGAGAGAGGGGGGAGAGAGAAAAGAGAGACAGCAGGGGGAGAGAGGAGAAGAGAGAGACAAGAGAGAGGAGAGAGAGGAGAGAGAAGAAAGAGAGGAGAGAGAGAAAGAGAGAAGAGAGAGAAAGAGAGAAGAGAGGAGAGAGGAAGGTGAGGACAGAAAGAGGAGGGACAGGAAAGAGGATTGAGGAGAGGGAGGTAGACCACATGGTAGATTGCTTACATCACTTAGGTAACTTAGTTCACTTGGGTCACTTAGATGGTGCAGGGTGGTATCGAACCAAGTCCCTACATGATATACAGCCCCAGCAGCGGAAGAAACAACAAAAACTTGGTGCGCATTTGCACAGGTACAGGGAGGCCTCCCAGATCGCCCTCCGATCTGTGCCATCCGCTCGACAGACGGCACAGATCACAGGCGGATCATACAAATTTCGGATCAGGTCACTATCAGAGGCCTTTCAGACAAAACTCTGTGCGGCCCACTATCCAGGCCGCCCATTCATGCAAACGGCCCAGATCAAGGGCCAATCAGATTTTTCTCTGATCGGCTTGCTATCTGCATCGTTCGTGAAAACAATCATCCTGCGACCCAAGCTGTTCCTTTTGATGATTAGCAGTTTCTATAGCATTGTAGATGTAGACGCAGTTCTACTTGATTGTAACTCCCCTTCGGAAAAAGTTCGGATATAATGCCCAGGCGTTATATTTGAATATGGCATTGGTAGAATGGCGTGTGGGCATGCAGAAGGAGGGTATACATGGGGTTCAAAGAGGGTTGAAGGACCAGCACAAAAAAAAAAAATCAAAAAATTCCGGAAAAGAAAGTTGTGTAGATTTGCAATGCGAACGACTTTTGGCTGAGGGTCATATCAGAATTCCTCGCACAATCGGAGGTAAAAAAAGAAAATAACACAAGCACAATAAACAGCCCCCTTTAAAGTTTAAACCCCTTTAGCCCCTTGAAAACCAATTTATACCCCCCTTGACGACCAACACTCAAAAAAAGAAAAGAGCCTGGATTTGGGGTTCTCTCAAAGAGCCCGGAAATCCGAAAAAAACATCCCCGCGCCCGGGTGCGTGGCCAGGCGTGACAATCTTCCTAGACACAAGGTACTTTTTTTACAGATTTTTTTTTTGCTGTTTACTTTTGTGGCCCCACTGAAGTTGCTACCAATTTAATGAATACAACGCTCGGGTGTTGTAAACGCATCAAACACCCGGGCGTTATTTTTTGGTTAAGACAGTAGTAATTGCTTTCAAATCTGCAACTGCAGTATAATTTGCATTTTAAGGGTTTTCGATGGAGAAACAACTGTTAGGGAAGCATAGTTTGGGTGCTCACAGTGCAAGGCAGATTTTCTGTGCAATAGAGACTTTGAGCTGCTACTGTGTATGACCATGTCTCTACAACATGGTATCGTCCTGGTTGCATTTTGGATGCATGAATCACTAAATGATTGAGAACCTGTGTTTCACTCATCGCAAGTGGACGGAGTTTTGACAGGTTGACTAAAATGTTACATTGTGATCCTCTCCAACTCTTATGCTGTGTGTTTTAAATTTATGTCTGTGAAGTGTGCGCTCGCCAGGTTTTATTGCTGACTAAAACCCCCACTACCTATAGGCAAACTTTTATGGCAAAGTTGTTCACCTCGCAACATTCGGATGAACAGTGCTATTGGACCAAAATGGCTGGCAGCGCCGGCCAAAGAGGAAAGAAAATGTGCCGCTGGAGTTTCGTTTCCCTCTGGCACGCCGTGGAAATCCACATTGTGAAAAAGAGGATCAGAGGTGGTGGTTTTTTAACATCAAGCACATGCCAGAAGAGTTTTGCGAAGGCAAGCCCCTCACCCAAAAGGTCCTTGTTGTGCACAAAGCAGAACCGGAGAACAGATTCATTGAGGAGTGCATATATTACAATCACTATGACTACCTGAGGTAAGCCACAGTGGCGAGATGCCGCTGATACTTGTGAAAATCCGGATGAGAGATAACGGATGGTTACAGAAGCAGCCACCAACAATGACATACACAGAAACAAGAGGAGAGAACCACAACCAGAGATAGAGAACAGATACAGTGAAACGGTAAGAGAATCTGCGGGTAACAGTATACTTACAGCAATGCATAAGATTTCCTGCAATGGAGAGTGGCGAAACCAGGACTTCTGCCGAGTCAATTTCTTAATTGCTGCTTTCGGCAATTTGCAGCCATTTGCTTTCACCATTTTGACCAGCACCTGTGAACACACATGCAGCCGAACGAGTTACCCTGTGTTCCATGCTTCTACGTCAATGCTCTGAAAAAGAGAAGTCACAAGTTCCCCAACCGACCATTAGAAATTCCTGCGCCTCTGAGCAGAAAGTATGACAGAAATGGCCATGTGCGAAGCATCTCGTGGCACCCTTTCACACTGCTACATCTTTCCACACCTGTATGGTCTCATGCAGCCACGCTGAAGAGGTTCTCTCCCTCCCTTGCACTTACAAAGCCTCTACAAAGCACGAGGCAACACCTCTACACAGACGGGAAGAGAGAGAAGTTATTTTTCTAGTGCTTGGTACATGTAGGGTGTAGTAAGGTCATGGTATATTGGCATGTCACCATACTTGAGACATCCTGGAGGAGTGCACTTAGGGCACCGAGGTGAGGGGGGGGAGAGAGATATGGAGCAGGCTGCTGGCCGTAGGCCATTGCAGGTATATAGGAGGGAGGGAGGAAGGGAGGGAGCAACTGAGTGAGCGGGCAGGTGAGCCAGAGAGTGGGTGGGCGGGCAGACGAGCAGCTGGGCGAGTGACGCAAAAGTGAGTGACAGAGGGAGGGAGTGAGGCAGGGAGGGAGGGATCCAGGGAGGGAGGAAGCCAGGGAGGGAGGGAGCCAGGGAGGGAGGGAGGCAGTGCGTGACTGAGCGAGCAAGCAAGCGAGCGAGCGAGCGAGGGAGGGAGCAAGGGAGTGAGAAAGGGACCGAGGGAGGGAGGAAGTCACCAAGGAAAGCAAGGAAGTGAGCGAGCTAAGGAAGCGACGGAGTGAGGGAGTGAGGGAGCGTGTAAGCGAGTGAGCAAGTGAGTGAGCAAGCAAGCGAGCGAACATTAGCCACTGAACATAGGTCGATGAAAGTAGGGTTGCAGCATATGCATGGCATGTTGGGGCATCGTGGACTGGGGAAAGGGGGATTGGGAGTAAGAAGGCCGCAGGAGAGTGAGAGAGAGAAACGAAAAGAAGGACAGAGGGAGAGAGAGAGATGCAGCCGCGACCTGCCATGAACAAATAATGCCACCAACATGACCTCGTGCTGTTTACACAAATTAGAACCTTGTCTAGGGGTAAGAACGGAGGGAGTAGTCATGCAGACAATTTGGGGCTCCCGAGTCCTTGAACCTTTGTTCCCTGTGCTTCAATTCCGAGATAGTTCACTATTTCTTTATTTTTTCCTCTTTCCTGCTTTTCTTTGCCCAGTTTTCTGTTCAGCGTTCTTCCCGTTCTTCCTGAATCCATCGCTTCTTGTACTTTCTTGCTCTATGAATCCGTTGTTTATTTTCTTTTCCATTCCGATCATCACAGCACCAAGGAGAAATCACACACAAGCGATTTGCACAAAAGGCATCCCAATCCCCTGGTCGTAATCACGATGACATGGCAGCCAACAGCCTCCCACCATGGTGGCACCCCAACTGCAGCCAATGGAGACAATAGAGTTCTTCCTGTGATGAGCTGCTGCCAGCATCATCACGCGTACGTGGATACCGACAGCATGAAAGGTATGCTCTGGTTTGGGCTCCATCTGTGCTAATAAAGCTGATAACAGAAAAAGAGATCCTTACTGTTGATAACACAACACGCGGCATGGCAAGTGCATTCCGGCTCCGGCCCCGGCTCCAGCAAGCACATGAATCAGGCCCGGGCCTGACTAAAGTATGGGCCAGATGTGAGTTCACTCGCCACAGATCTGTTATCAGCTGAGAAAAACAGAGAAACAATTCACAGTTCAAGCCAGCCTTCATCACTTGCTTTCAGCGTTAGAGTTCAGGGTTCCAAGGGTGGATACCTTCTTGACAGTTGGACTCTCCTGGCAGACCGATTTCCACTTCGAAGCAAACTGCATCAACTTCTCAGCAGGAATCCATCCCTCGGCATCCTCATTGTCACAGGCCTCTGATTGCACTGGCACAAAATCTTCCTCTTCCTCTTCGTCTCCCTCATCACTGGAGATGACAATGGCACTTTCATTCCCTTGACCTGCAGAACCCAGCTTTCCTTGTCGCAAGCGCTCCTCCAAAACAGAAGGGTATGGGCATCCTTTTGAGCTGTCGTCTCCCGCCTGTGCTGCTGCCACACCACCCGCTCTACCCACCTTCAGGCGGTTCAGATTCCATCGATGCACCCATTCATCCACATTCTCTACTTGCTTTCCTTTCTCTTGTTCTTCATCCTTACTAACCTTCTCAAGAAATTCCATAACGCGAGGCATCACCTTTGATCTTGGGACACCCGGCTCACCTGGCCTTGGTTCTTGCTCCTCCCCCTCTGGATTACAGGTGCCCTCAGCAGCTGGTCCCAGATCCTTGTCCCGTGCAGATCGCTCCGGTACCATCCCCTGAAGATTCCTGGAGGACCACAGTCGCCAGTTATGCAGTGCAATCTGACGTTGTGAGCAGTGCTACATGTCGAGCTCGATAATTGAACGCCATGGGGGCAAGAATATTTACCATAGGGATTTACAGCGCCAACCTACCAGGGACCTACATGGAACGCCATGGGGGCAAGAATAGTTACCATAGGGATTTACAGCGCCAACCTACCACCGACCCACAGAGAAAAACATGGATGCACGTTTATGTAGTGCGATCTAGCAATTTGATGTCCAGCTTAATAAATGTATAACATGGACGCAATAATAAGTGACCGTAGGGATTTAGAATGTCAAACTACCACACACCAACAAAGAGAAAAGGATGGAGGGGTGTTTAACATGGACTGAGTAAAAGAATACTGAAAAGGGCCACACAAATGCAAAAACACCACCAAGCAACCGCACACGAAAACCAACAGGAGAAACCACCTCTTTCTTTTACTAATTCATCTTTGTTTATGCTACTCACTATTAGTTTAGTTTTGCTTTTATTTCATTTTGTCACCATGAATGGAGGTCATTCAGTACCCAATGCTTGGTAATCTTTTGTTGAAATGATTTATGAATTTGTTCTAAACTTAGCAATGAACAAATAAGTGGTGTACCAGCAGTTAAACAACGATTTTTCCTTTCATCTTTGTCATGTGGCCCACAATTTATTCCCTTCCCTTGTGGACATGAGCGTTTCACAACAAGTCCGAACTTCAAACATGAAACCAACCACTCCTGCTCACACCGAGCCGCACATGCACAACACGCGGAGTGAAATTCCAAAGCCACCCAATAACTCAAGTTCGCCAGCATTCATGGTAATAAACAAGTTTGTGTACTAGTGGCCTGGCTGCTATGGCCACCAGCCTCAGCAACAAAAAGAACTCTCGCAGCTTGACCCTCAGGCCTCTTCATCTCTCCTCCCTAAATGCCTTTCTGCAGCCATGATGCTCAGCACCTATTGACTACTGACCTCTCTCTCTCTCTCTCTCTCTCTCTCTCTCTCTCTCTCTCTCTCTCTCTCTCTCT